GCCGGCGAGGGGAGGGGGCGGCCGCGGCTCCTCACCTGCCCGCCGAGTAGCCCAGCCGCGCCACTTCCCCAGCCGGCCCGGCCCGCAAGATGGAGGCGGGGGCGGGGCCGGGAGAGGGCTCGGGGCGGGGCCTGGCCCGGGAGACTGAGCTTGGGGTGCGGCCCCCCCTCTCCCGCTTTGGCCCGGGGGCGGGGGCCGCAGAGCGCTAGTCTGCCCTTGGCCATGGCCCACCTGGTCCTGTCCTCGGGCCCCAGCGAGCTTCTGCACCCCCTACGCCCCCCTCCGCCTCTGCGGGCTGGGGTCCGAGGTTCGACCCGGAGCTCCCAGCTGGCCAGCCACGGCCGCCTTCAGCAGGACACTCAATCTTCATGCGCTGGGCCTTTAGGCGGGCCCCATTAGGGCCCTTAAAACATTTCGAGCCGTCCTAAGGAAGGCACCAGCACCCCCAAACATTGTTTCTATTGCTACACCTATGCTGCTTCGTTCAAGAGGCTTACACACACACGCACACACACACCGGGTTTTTAGCCTGGGTCCGAATCTTATCTACCACTTAAATACGTGTGACCTTGGATATGTCACCGTTTCCTCATCTGTAAAATGAAGGAGTTTGACTGGAAGGTCTCAGAGGTCCCTTCCAGCTTTAGAGGGGGAAAAAAGCTAGATAAGGGCCAAATTGGCCCTGTCTTTTAGTGTGGAAGGTATAGTTTGTATTGGGTAAAAGTAAGGAAACTAGGTTTTCAGTCACCCTTTCTTCAACTTAAAGAAGGGTCTGCAAATTAAACAAGTTTGCCCAGCCTATGCTTGAAATATTCTCCCTCTACATTCCAGGCAGATGAAATTCTGCTTATCTAAGTCATCTCCACCAGGATATCTCCCTCCTCTGAAGTTGCCTAACACTTTGCTTTTAACTTACAAACTTTCACTGTATTTTTTATATTTTTAAGTGCAAGTTTTATGGCTTCTATGAGAGTAATAGCTACTTAAAGGCTGGGAAATATACGTAGCCTTAGACACCACTGAGAAATAGTTAATTTGGGGGGGCAGCTAGGTGGCACAGTGGAGAGAGCAATGGCCCTTCAGTCAGGAGGACCTGAGTTCAAATGCAGTCTCAGACACACTCACTAGCTGTGTGACCCTGGGCAAGTCACTTAACCCCAACTGCCTCACCAAAAAAAAGTTTAATTTGCAGTGTGTAAAGTAGGTGGAGTTGGAGGACCTAGGTTTGAATCCCCATACTGCTTCCTGGGTCTATTATCTCCCTCTTCTCAAATGAGGGAGCTAGGCTGCAGTTCTTCCCTGTATCTCTAAATCTGTATCAATATGAAATGAATGAACCAGGCAAACAACAGTTACTGCTACTGCACTGGTCACTATTCTCTAAGTTGTGTTGTCTCTGGCCCCATTTTTATAATTCTCACTTTTGCCATTTGCACGAGGATCATCATCTACAGCTCCTCTCCCCAGCAGAATTGTGGACTTTACCCCTGAAACCACTCTGGGATGCTCAGGGTCAGCTTTGGCCTTTCTCTTCCCCAGAGCCAGGCCACCACAGCATTTCCAGGCCATTAACATGTCATACCTTCCCTGCTTTCATGTGTTGTCTTCCCTGATGAGAATGCAAGGTCCTTGTTGGCAAGGTCTGTCTTGATTGTAATTTTATCCCTAATGCTTAACACAATGCCATAGCACATGTTAACCACTGAATAAATGTTCTATCATCTCTTTCTCTCACATCAATCTATCATTTCTCTATCTACCAAGCTTCATCTACCACCTCTATGCAGTATACTCTTAAATTTCGATCTCTATCCCCAAACTCTTTGTGGAGCTTCAGTCCCAAAGTTCCAACTGCCTTCTGGCCATCAGCTGAATTCAACACACAGCCAGTATCCCTGTCTCCTCTTCCTCCTCCTTCTTCACTGGAATTCAGATTCTAACCTCTGGGACCCTAGACCCTAAGGACCTGTAAATCCTCCTGACTCTAGAGTACTTTTCCACCTATAATACTTTGACTTCATTCTGCAATTGGTTAGTTCTTTCTAGGAACCTCCATTTGAGAGGGTTTATTTGGCATACTCGCCTCTAAACAGGCTGTTCTTCAATAAATTTTCCACCTTGCCCATGAAAGTAGCTCTTCTCCCCTTTTCAGCTCCCCTTATGTATTTTCCTCCCATTAGAATGTAAGTTCCATTGTACATAGTAACAGCCATGTTCTTCGATGACTAACTTTGATAGACTTAGATCTCAGCAATGCAAAGATCTAAGACATCTCTGAAAGTCTCATGACGGAAAATGCTATCCACATCCAGAGAAAGAACTATGCAATTTGAATGCAGATTAAAGCATACTATTTGCTCTTTTTTTCCCCTTCTGTTTTATTTATTCTTTCTTGTGGTTCCTCCTGTTGGTTTTAATTCTTCTTTACATGACTAATGTGAAAATGTTTAATAGGAATGTATATGTAGAACCTATATCACATTGCACACCATCTTAGGGAAGGAGGGAGAGGGAGAAAATTTAAAACTCAAAAGCTTATGTAAGCGAATGTTGAAAACTAAAAATAAGTTAATATTTTTAAAAAAGTCAAATTCCTTGAAGGCAAAGATTATCTTTTTACTTGTATTTGTATTCTCAATGCTTATCCAAGTCCAACTACTGGTGAGTCTTAACAAACCTTAATACATCTTTTCTCCAAAAATAGTTCTTTAATGGTCCCAACATTTTGCTTTTCCAGTCACCCCCTCAGAACCTGGTTTCTGACTCCTTTACTTCCTCCTACAAATTCACTTCATTGCCTGATCACACTTTCTCCACCATGACTCCCAGATGTCTTTTCATTCTCATCACCTCCACCCTAGTTCACATTATCATTACCTATTTCTTAGACTCTTGCAATAACCAATCCAGTCTTTACCTCTTCAAACCTTTTTACACAGCAGCCAGATGGATGTTCCTGTAGCAAAATTCTGTCATTACCCTACTCCCCCATTGCCTACTAAATGGTTTAAACTTTATTTAGTTTGCCCTACCTTTGTTTAGTTTGTCCCCAGCCTACCTTTCTAGACTTTTCATTACTCTGTATATCTTCTACATGCCAGTCAAATGGAATGGTGTAGTAGAAAGACAGTGGATTTTTAGGCAGAGGATCTGGGTTTCAATAATTACTACCTGTGTGATCTTGGGCGGGTTACTTAACCTTTGTGGTCTCAGTTCCCTTCATCTATAAAATTAAGTGGTGGGTTTATATCAGGAGTTCTTAACCTGAAGTTTACAGACATCCCTAACCCCACCCCAAAAGAGTTCATGAGTAGATTTCAGGGGATCTATGAACTTGGATGAGAAAAAAAAAAGATCTTTATTTTCACTAACTTTTAACCAAATTTTACTATCTTCTTCAATTTTTTAAAAATTATTCTGAGGCTGCTAGGTGGCGAAGTGGATAGAACACTGGCTCTGGATTCAGGATTCAAATCTGGCCTCAGACACATAACACTTACTAGCTGTGTGACCCTGGGCAAGTCACTTAACCCCACTGCCTAGCCTCCCCTAAAAAAATTATTCTGAGAAGGGGTCTATAGGCTTCACTAGACTGCAAAAGGGGTCGATGAAAAAAAAAAACTTAACCTATGATCTAAATGGTCTCTAAGATCTCTTCCAGCTCTGATTTCCCCATGGTCTATGATTATTCCCTGTTCCACAATCATGGCCTAGCCTATTCCACTTCCATATCTTTGCTCATGTTATTCTGTCCACCTGGGACACCCTCACCATTTTCTATGCCTTTCCAAATTCTACCTACCCTTCAAGGACCAATTAAAATGTCACCTGCTCCATGAAACCCCTTCCCCCAAAAGTGGTTTCATTTTATTTGCATGTTTCACAGTACTATGACATTTGTATCTTAAAAATTGTAAGCTTCTCCAAGGGTCAGGATCATGTTTTGTTCATCTCTGCAAGTTTCACTGCATTCTGAGAGCACACCACAGTAGCTCAATCCATATTTTATTGAGTAAGTAGTGCATTACATTTACCCAGTCTGGTCACAAAAGACTTGAAATGTACTCGTTGGGAGCTAAAGCTGCAGGAAGGAAGGCCTAGGCACATCCTGAGCTCAAGAAAGACAAGAAGAGAAACAAGAGAGGCCAAGCAGAGGGGACAGACTTGAAAAGCCACTGTTAATCATTCAGCTGGCAGGGCAGGGAAACGCAACCCTGAGGTCCTATTTGAAGGAATTTTTTCCCCCAGTTTAACAGGAGGTGTGGAGCAGTATGACATGGACAGAGATAGCTCTGGGGTCAGAAAGACCTGGGTACAAATCCCCCATCCAACACTTATACTGCAGCTGTATGAATCTGAGCAAGGACCTTAATTGGCAATGCTTCAGGCAATTGTCTAAGACTAGCTTGCAGAACTATGTGGCAGGATTTTCTTCTTCAGGATTTCCCTATACCATAAAATCACAAATATGATCCAAAAACAGGCAACACAGCTAAAGAAGTTTAGTGGCAGGGCACCTAGGTGGTACAGTGAGTGGATAGAGCACCAGCCCTGGAGTCAGGAAGATCTGAGTTCAAATCTAGCTTCAGACACATAACACTCACTAGCTGTGTAACTCCAGGCAAGTCACTTAACCCCAATTGCCTCACTCCCACCCGCCCCCCAAAAAAAGAAAAGAAAAAGAAAAAAGAAGTTTAGTGGGCTTTTCCATCACTCCAGGCCTAACACCCCACAACATCCAAAGACCCAGAATACTAACACTAGTGCAGAGAGGCAGTTCCAAGGACAAAAGTGTGATAATTTTCAGAGAGGATCCCAACAGCAGCAGAAAATGTGGTACTCGGGACACCTCTCAAAGGGTAGAACAGGCACTGATTCAGAGACCACTAGCTGGCTCAATCTGAAGTTGGGAAGACCCAAGGTCAGATCTGCCCTCAGATACTGACTAGCTGTGTGACCTTGGGCAAGTCACTTAACCTCTCTGCCTCAGTTTCCTCAAGTACAAAATAAGGATAATAAAAGCCCCTCCAAGGGTTGTTGTGAGACACTAATAAGATGATGTTTGTAAAGTGTCCCCAGCTGTCCAGACAGACTGTAGATCAGCTTTTTAAATACTACTATCCATTTTCCCTACTGCTTCCTCTCCATCCAGTTGGTGGGAAGTCCCCCGAAACATGATGTAGTAGGCGCTGCAGTACACAGGCTGCTTGTTGGGGTTGGTATAGGCTTGTTCAGGTTTAAGGGAAGCGAAAGGGTTATCTCCATATGCAATGATTCGAATCTCCAGTTCCATGAGGATCTGCAGAGAGGCTGTCAGCTCCTGTTGACTGAAGATGGCAGAGAAATAGCTCAGGACCAGTGCCCCCAAACCACTAACTAGGCAGATCCAGAAGAGGGCTCTGCTCTTCCCTCTATATAGGGCCTATGTCTTACTTCATCCCTCCCAGTACAGAACAGGGTCAGGCTCCTTGGGGCAGAGGCAAGTACAGAGAAGAAGGGAGCCCCTAAAGGAGGAAGATGAGGAGGAGCAAGAGGGAGATTATCTATACAAAATGAGGTGTGCGGTATATAGGAGGGAATCAAGTGGAGAGGTTTGAGCCAAAGGTCTCACCTATACACAGTGAAGATAGTGGGGATCTCATAATCTCGAAGCAGCAGTAGGGTGGGCAACCAGCCAGCCATCAAGTCTTGGCTTGCGTGGAAACCTAATAGGAAGGAAGGGAAGGCAAGATGGAAGGGGGTGAAACATGGAGGCTACTCCAACATCCTTTTTTCCATCTCCTAATGTTCTTTTCAGGGTCACTCTCAGCCCAAAGGTAGCAGAAATGGCTAGTGATCGATCAACCAAGGGCAATAGTATGTTACTTATGGACCAGACCAAGTCACTGAGTCCCAAGGACAGGAGGAAAGAGGTTACAGAATGGTGGCTCCTTCAGGAAGAAAAGAGCACTAATATTTCCTCTGGGGATCCCAACCCACATGGGGGTTCCCACAGCCTTACCTGGATGAAACCCTGCTACAAGGTCTGGAGAGACTGCCTGACCCATCTCTATTTGTTCTTCCCAGAAGTCATGATAGAGGCCCCTGTAGCTGCTGAGCTGAATCGTAGCAGGAGTTGCGGGTAGGACTGAGGTGAACTGTGGGAGGGACTCCACAGCCAAGTCCACACCAACCATAACTACGTGGAGGCCACCAGATCCAGGAAACATATGTTGAAGCTCTTCATAGGCCCCATGGCTAGTAAGGAAAGTCTCTACATGGGAAGCACCCACCACATGCACTGTGATCCCTCCCAGCTTTGCTGTATTCCCCACCAATGTCCGTAGCCCTAATCCCACTGTCAGGGGCTGAGAAAGGGTGTCTGTCAGAAGCCTTCGCAGGGAGCCCCGTAGACTATCTGGGTCGGGCCGTGGTCGCCCCACACTGTCCCACAAGGTAGACATCGCGTGACTAGCCAGTACAGATTCCAGCATGGTATCCAGCTGTGCTCCCCACATTGAAAACCAGGTATCCCAGTCCCGAACAGCCCCTGGTGGCCATGGCCAAGGCCCTGAAGGCAGGGAAAAGTCACCTGAGGGGACAAAAGAAAAACCAGAATGAGACAAGGATAGAAAGGGTCTGGTAAGAGAGAACACAATTTTCCAAAAGTGTTCTGCCCAGGAATATGAGCTTCCTTCCCCCCGCCCCATCATCCCTGTTCCCCTCTACTCCACCAGGATCTGGGCTCCTACTCCCTATCCCAACCTGTCACCTATAATAGCTTCCCCCATGTCCCCTGCTGTGTCCCCCAGCCGATTCCCGCTCCCCACCTGTGACCACTAGCCACTCCACCAGCCGGTCTATAGCCACAAGCCGAAGTTCCCAACAGACCCTCTTGTGTACTGGCCAGTCTGCTCTCTGGCACTCAGGACTACAGTAATACACATTTCTGCACCTGGTGGAGAAAAGGGCCACTGGAGTCTACACACATGACCACAAACAGGATTCCTTCCCTGGGCACCTTGCCCTGCCGTGATCTCCTCACCTCTTACAGCGTCGCAAGATCTTAGAGTCAGAGAGCTGGTTGGGAAGCACTCTGCACTGGGCACAGAATTGGAAGGTGTCTTCCAGGCGCTGGAACATGTCACTGAGACTGTGGATCCCAAAGCCCGACCCAGGGCTTTCCCCATTCACCACTGCCCTGCAGAAACAACATCGCAGAATCCCTGCCCCCGAAGCTCTCATCCTGTCTTCAAATTCCGTCATGCTTTCTAATCTTTGCATTTCCTTAAATCTCCCCCATCCATTTCTAATCCTTTCAAGAATGACACAGGCAAGTCATTGAGGGAGGGGGTATGAAGGATTATTTCAAATGCTTTATTAACACCTCTTAATTATATTCCCCCCACCCCCCAACACACAAAGCCTTTCTCTCTCTGAGGTTAAGCTCTCACTTGTATTCCTCATAGCTCTTCATGTTCAGCTTCTGAAGGATAACCTGGGACAGGCCAGGGACATTACTCTCCAAAGAGACAAAGCCAAGTGCATCAATGCTGGGACCTGAGACTGGAGAAGACAAGGCCACCTGAGTTCGGGAAGCCACCGGTGCAGAGTGCTTCTTGCGCCTTCGCCGAGGAGCCATAAGATAGCAGCTGGGGCCTGTGGCCTAGATGTGGAATAGCCTTTTGAGGGTTGGATACTTGTGGAATAAGCCTGCCAGAGCTGACCTATCACAGCTTATTCAAGTTTCTCAGAAGAGGGCACTGTTCTGATGTCAACAAATATTTATTGCCTATTGCACATAGAGCCCCATAATAGGAAATTTTGAATGACATGAGAAGGCAGTTTCTGATCTAACCATTTAGCTGAAGAGGTAACAATCTAATTGTGGAGAGAAAAAACAAACGTGAAAAGACATTGTAAAATTTATAAAAGACACAAACAAGTATAAATTGATAATATAAACCAAGCACATAAATACTTGAAGACTATGTTTGGTGAAGACATCTTCAGTGAGGTGGGGCTAATCAAAGTTTTCCTGGAAGACTGCTTTTTCATTGGGTGAACAGGGATTGGCGGAGATAAAGCTTTTTGAGATGGAAAATGTTTGTAAAGGCAGAGGCAGGAACAATCATATTAAACATTAGGATAGCAAACACCGGTTGGGTTGGACCAAAGAGGAGTTAGAAACAACTAGGCCAGTGATATCACATAGCCATGGCAAGAGAAAATATGGCAGTTAGAAGCAGTGGTAGGGAGGCCTGGATACATTTTAAGGCAGAAAAGGAATGTTATAGGAATCAAGAGATTTAATGATGCAGAGACAGAGGGACCACAAATAAAAGAGAAATGATAAGTAGTTATGATGTCAGAGACATGAGAGTTAATAAACTACTTGTTAGTGCAGATAAGAGTTCTGTTCTCAGTATCAAAACTTTGTAACTTCTGGGTTCACAGGGGAAACTCTTGGATTATCCTCGGGGATAGGACCAAAGTTAGCAAAAAACTAAATCCTAAAACAACCTACCTTTCTTCCCAGCCTTCAGCTCTCCTAGTTACATTGACAAGTGGTCAGGTCCAGGGACTACAGAACAGATAACCTTGGGCTGTCTGCTTCCTTTATACCATCTGCTCTGAAACCACTAGCAACATTGAAGAAAGCACGACTTCTGCTATATAAGGAGACTAGTTAGCTCAGTTACTTACAGCAAGACCTTATAATTCAAGTCAGAAATGTCATCCGGATGGCTAACCTTGAGCTCTGCTTTAGAAATGGAAGCCAATTACGGCTAGGAATAGTAAGAAAATTACTATCTGCCCCATATATCTATCTCTGTGGAGACTTTCCCCACAGGACAGGTTAACACATGGACCTCCTAGGATTTTGTCTCATGGGGTCAGTGCCAGCCTAGTAAGCAGTGGGAGACACACTGCTGGCAGTCTAGAGTCTGGAGCATATGCACAATGCAGAGAAGACAGAAGTGATTTCTTGGCAGGGGGTTAAGGGTAAGGAACGGAGATGGGGAACCAGGTCTATGCATTTGCATCTATATATATCACTGTCCTCATGTCTGCGTCCAAGATCCAAATTCATGTTTCCGGACAACAGTCCTGCTAAATGGTCCTGGGCTCCCTGAAGCTTGATAAAGTTAGCAAGGGAAGGGATGGAGGACAGAAGTGGGAAAGACTAGGGCAAGAACATACAAGGAGACAGAAAGGGTTAAGAAGGTGGAAACAGTCTCTGACAGCCGTCACTGAGCTGTCACAGCTTCTTCACTCATCCTATTCCATCCCCAAGCAGGATCATTAACCCAGCCTAGAAAAAGTTACCTTCCAGTGAGTTAGACTAGACTACTCTCTAGCCTCCAAGTATAATCAACCTCCCATGGTGATACCACTTCTCCCTCAACCCAGAACCCTAGTCCCAAGCAGCCCCAACTCAGAATTAAAGTTCCTGTATCATACCCTTAGCTTCCCCCATGAAGGTTAAATCAGTCTTTTTTTCTCAGGCTCCTGTACCACCCGAAGGCCCATCTGTCTGTTCTTATTTGAATTCTTATTTTCTGAGTCACCCAACAGCAATTTAAAAATTGCCCCCCCCTGGAAGAGTAAGGAAAAAGGACAGTAGGATGTTGAGGGGTCTTTATGAAAAGGGGAAAACAAAAGAGGAAATAGCAGAAAGACAATTCATCTGTGCTCAAATGGTCACACTCAAGCTCCTTCATCAGTGATTAACACTCTCCGGGGATAATCACTTCACTCATCTATAAACTAAGTAGGAAGACAAGTTGATGGAGAAGTGACTTACCCTGCTAAGCCCTTGGTTCCTTCCTTCTCTTTCCTTCAAGTGAAGTGAAAGCTTGATCTCAGACTCTGGGCTATGGCTGAGCTACAGCTGTCCTCTCCTATCACTTTACTCTCCAAACTGCTGAAATGTTGGACCCTTGTGATTGAGTGTCCCTTGCCAGCTAGACTGCCAGGACCAAATTCTCCCTAATGAGAATAGTGGGGGACTGGCCCTCTGCCAAAGACCTGGCTTATTCTGACCCCTATTCTTTGCCAATAGAGCTCAGGTCGCTGTTAACACTCCTCAAATTCACCAAAGGATGGCTAGGAAAAAGGAGACAGCAGACAGTAGAATCCTCAGCCCCACAGGCTGCTTCCAATCCTGAAGTGTTTTTTTCAGTCTAGAAAATCACATGGATTTCCTTACCAGTATTTCATTGGCATGGGCAGTCACTGACTTGGGACCTCAGAGAATCAGGGTGATCTGATTAGGGCAGGTTGGGGATGAAAGAACTGTAGGTACCAAGTGTGTCCAGGACAGGCTTCTTCATCAATACTGTAACAGGATGTCCTTTTTAGTATAACTGATATTCTACATACCAAACCTGATAGGATTTAACTCAGGCTTATATATTCTGCAGAATACAGCAAAAAGGATGGTAAGAAAAGCTCAACAATAAACAATGAAATCCATAGCCAGGAAAGTAGCTTAATCAATTCCTACAATTCACTTTCCCTAAAAGGGAAGTGAAGTGTCTCTGAATGGAAGTGTTGTCAGGCTGACTCCAACTGCCCACTTTTTCACAAGGAGGTATAATTTCTAGGAAATGACAGACTCAATTTCTGTCCAACCTAATTCATACATATGACTAGTGACTTACAAAGGTGGACCTGTGGTATCTTAGCAGTCACACACTGCTTTGGGGCAGCCATCCTTTCACCTTTCCAGGCAAGAGTTACTGGCATTAACTATGGGCAATTAAACCTGCATTGCATGTAGAATCAAGGAATTAATTTTTATTTTCATCAAAGGCATCCCCAGTTCATATCCACTTATAGATAGCAGTGAGTTCCAGGCCCAAATGAAGGTTCACAGATCAGTAGTCATATTCAGCCTCCTTTATCTTTAAAGGACGTAGGCTTTCCACAGATGTCTCATCTGGCTCCAGCAGCATTACCCCTACATTGCCAACATCACCAAAAGGCAGGATAAGATCACCAATATCTTGAAATGCCGCCAGTCAAGTCCACTGCCCCTAATGTGGGCAGAGAATGAATTAAAGCAGGAGACCCAAAGCTTCAAAGCACAAAGTAGGCATTTAATAAAGACTTGTTGATTAACTGGAAGGCAGACTCAAAATTCCAAGGACATTGAACCACAATGTGACTCCATATTTCCCACCTATTCACAGCTATGTTACTATGTTACTTTTCAAAGTAACAGCAACAGGCAACAGAGACTCCTGAGAAACAACTGAACTGAGGAGTGAAAGGAGACTCTTTTTGAAGCTTCTGTTCAATGTTTAGTCTTTTGCCACAAAAGCAAATCTGGCAACAGTGTCAATGGAGAAGAGCTGGGAGATTTAAAAGTTTTAAAAAACGGGGTTTTTTTTTGGGGGGGACTTTTTTTTTAAGGTACAGATGACATGAGGGCCATAAGGGAGTGATAACATATTGAAACATCATTGAAATTACAATTTATTAGTGTGTATCTGTCTTAAGAGGCATCAAATTTCTTAATATCCAAATTACCAAAATACACATTCATTTCTCAAAACTGTTTGATAAATACTTCTATGCCTGGCAATGAAACCAACTCTAAAGAGCAGACAGGGGTTTCTATTCAAGAATAACCAACTTCTCGCACTGTCTTTTTTCTCCCTTTGTTAATCCTTGCCAATGTTACCCCACAGGCATTACTTAGGAATGGTACTGAGAATCAGGGCTAAAGAGGGCAATAACTCCTGGTATAACAAGCTGCTGAGTGTTGAATGAGAAGAGATTTTAGAGATTCACATCTCCCCTATGCTAACTGCATCTTAAGACATCCTTAGATTAGTTCTTAACATCTCTAGAGAAAGTTTCTGGGATAAAAAGGATGACAATGATTTAAAGAGAAAATAATCAGTCCCTGAAAAAGTATTGTTGGTTATTTGAAAAGAGTGAACGTCCATAATAACTATTTTAATCAATGCTTATAATATACTTTATTATTGTAATAAATAGTATCCTACTTTCTATCAATTACTGCCTATTATTTGGGAGAAAAAATCCCCTTTTCCTTACTTTCCAGGAAAAGGTATCAAGATGGGGAATTTAATAGCATATAACGGCAGTTCCTAATACTTTTCCTATTTGTTATTAAAACACCAAAATGACTAACACTGTGAACTAATTCTAGGGCACGATAAAACAGTCCGAAACACTGACATTTTCTTTCTGCAATTTTACAACAAACATACAGTATATTCTTCCATATAGATTTAGGTGGCAAAAGCACAAATGCAACGTCAGGAAAATTAAATTTTCAGATGACAGAAATCTGACCTGTGAAATCACTGCAGCAGCTTACTATCAAAGGGATAAGATACTTTCTTTTTTTAAAAAAAGGATGAGACTCCACTCCATGGCACCCACTGAGTTGAACATCCACAGGATCTGAAAATCTAATTTGTAAAATCTAAGCCAGGTGAGATTAGACCACAGCTTCCAAATAAAACCCAACACAGAGATAGGAGCAGCGGCCCATGCATGGAATTTATTGTGTGCTACTGTTTATAAAATATTCAAATAGTCCTGCACATGCATAATATTTCCAACTTAGACAGGAGACCATACAGGGTGCACTTTCTGGCAAACAAAACAGGAGATGGCTCCGCTGCCTGGAGTTCTGAGCAGTGTTCCAGGGCATGAGGTCACCAAAGGAAAGGGAGATACCAGCTAGAGCGGCAATCTAGACAGACCAATAATTGTGAAAAACTAGCACATGGTTCCATTTATTTTTAACCAAGCAGTCCTGTAACTATCAAAATAAAAACTTCAACATGCAGTTTTGACTTTATGCTTCCACGAATGTCTGAATGGTTGAGCTGAACCATAGCTTCTATGCAGCATTTGTATAAACAAAAACACTTCCAGGACATTTTCCATTTCCTTTATAAGAATTCATAAAAATTATAGAAAGCCAACAGCCCTGCTGGCTACTGAAGTAATTTGAATACTCACAATAAACTAAAAGTCCCCATAACATCTAGGCAACCTATACATGTCGTACCTGTACATCATAGGCCTATATATTAAATATTTGCAAAATGAAAACATGCATACACAAAATACAATGTCAAGTTTTACAGACATGATCTGAAGTAAAATTTACTTTGACAACATACAAGCTTTTTTAAAGATACCTTCAATGAGCAATTCTGTAACTTTATGCACTTTTGAAATTTAGAAGTTTTCTTCTTAAATCCCAAGGGTACAAATCTCAAAAGATTTGGAAAAAAGATTCTAATTTGAGTTTTTGGATCTGTAATCAAGTAACAAAGTTCTGCCTTGAGATAGATTTTGCATTCATAATCAAAAACTAACCTATAATACAGAACTAGTGAAGACTGTAGACCTGAGGTCAGCACTCTGAACATTTGCCAACTGGGTTTTTTTGGTATTTTCCCCATGATTCAAAAATACAACTTTGTAACCTCAGAACTGTATTTTAAGACCATTCTAATATGACCTTTAAAGACATTTTATGAAACCAAAATCCATGAATAAATAGCATTTAGGATTGTGTTTGAAGTCTTGATTGGAAAAAAATCTAGTTCTATGGAAGGGAGGGAGGAATTCTCATTTGTAAACTTAAATGTGTGAATCACAAGCATAAATGGAGGTCAAGATGCTCTCCACAGAAAACAGCCCCCAGACCCCTTGCTTTCTACTCCCCACCTTGGCTCGGCTGCCAGCAATGCAACCTCATCAATAGAATAGCACGTCCCAGGGCCCTCAAGCCTCCTTCTGGGGAGGGAATTGGGGTCTCAAAAGCACAATGGTTTCTCCAAAGGGACCAGTGACATTTACAGTCAGCTTAGCTGATCCCTCCGGATCCTTGGGTGTCCTGTCCATCTGGGGCCCGAGATGCGAGAGTCCCCGGGAAGCCGTGGGTCACTGGGCACTGTGGTTGCCAGTCCCGTGGTTCTCAGTGGCATGTGCGGTGTTCAGAGAATTGAAACCATCTTGCTGCACGGCGTCTTTCCGGGGTGGCATTCTCTCATTGATCCTATCCAAACCTTTTGCTTCTTCAAAACTGCAGATTCTATGTGGTGGAGAGAATCCTCGTATTGCTTAACAAAATGCAAATTTGATAAGTCAGTAATAGGAAAAAAAAGTCTAACTTCAAAAAATAATAATAAATGATTTTTTCTTAAAGATAAAGTTAGCCAAAGGAGCAATCATGGCTACAAGCAGCACAAAAAACTTCTAAGTTGAATTTTCCCCCTAAAATGTTAAACGACAAACATGATTTAAATTATTTGAAAATAAATAGTAGAGCATAATGGATGGAAAGTGTTAGCATAGGCTTAAAAATCAAAATAAGAAAAAAGGAAAACCCAATCCCATCAAAAACCAACCAATGGTATCAAGTTGACCTCAGTCTAACCTCTTTGCATCAGGCTCATTCTAGTTCAGACCCTGAGCTATACACTGAATGATAAACTAAGGAAGCAGTAAAGATATGGCACTGAGAAACCACAAGGTTTCTCCTCAGTTGCCTCACAAATCTGCACCAGAAACATGAGGGGAAGAAAGAGTCAAGTGGAACAAGTTAAAATTCATTAGATTAGAATACCAAGGCGGCCTGGGCATTACCACCCACTTACCACCTATGTGAAATGAACAAGGTGGTAAAATATCTCCATGAGTTTGAAGCAGAGTATGGCTGACGCCCAAAGGTGTTTAGTCTTATGCTACAGGAGAAGACTTCTCCCTGTAGCATCCATTCACCAAGTATTATTCAGAAACCATCGACTGAGATCTCTGGCAATCCTTCTC